GGGAGGGAGAGAGAGAATATGTTCTACACATCCTTCTCTACTCGCCTCCGCCGCACTGAAAGAGAAAACAGAGACGTGTTAGTAATCCGATACATTCACGCCGTTAGAACATGCTGAGAGCTACAGTACAAGAACCTTTAATGAGATCTGCTCATTTAAGACGCTTAATAAATCAGTGTGTTAGTCAATCTTTCATCCTGTTACAAAGCTACACACAATTACTAATTTCAGCCAAAACTTGTTGTGTCATGAACAATCAGGTCTCCCTGCACAACTGGGTCTGTTTTCAAATCAGTTTTCTCTTACAGTACAATAGTTTAGCCTACTGTATTATACAACAGCTGATATCAAAAGTTTTTCACATTTTATTATTTGCTTGTTCTTGCTGATCAAAGGTAATATGAGATTTATTAAGCTAGATGGCAACAGTATAGTAGGATGCTGAGCAGGTAAAGAGAAAATGTTAATTTCGCAAAGTATAGCTTTGTTTGTTTACCATTATATGCAACATAATTTAAATGGCATTTATAGTCATATTTACATTTGTTTATTTAAAGGTTATAGTTCAACCAAAACTGAAAATTCTGTCATCGTTCACTGAACAACACTCATGTCGTTCCAAACTTATACGACTTTCTTCTATGGAAGATATTTCGAAGAATGCTGGTAGTACAATAGTACTAGAGTATAAGAACAGTTTTGGTGCCCATAGACTTCCTTGTATGGCCAAAAAAAGTCTGAGACATTTCTCAAAATATCTTATAATATCTATAATTCCACTGAAGAAAGTAGGTCATACAGGTTTTGAATGAGAGGGTGAGTAAATGATGACATTTTTATTTTTGAACCATACCTTTAATATTACGTATGTGACCCTGGACCACAAAACCAGTCATAAGGGTCAATTTTGTGAAATTGAGATTTATACATCAACTGGAAGCTGAATAAATAAGCTTTTTATTGATGTATGGTTTGTTAGGATAGGACAATATTTGGCCGAGGTACAACTATTTGAAAATCTGGAATCGCGACTTAAGACTGGTTTTGTGCTCCAGGGTCACATATGTGAAATTGCTACTAGTACTGAACGGAGTACAAATTAAAAGACCTTTTAGCCAATAGAATTGCTAGGCAGACTCGTTTGAAAATAACAACAGCCCATTTAGTCCATCTCAGATCCAATTAGGTTTTTAATCAGCCTGAAGGGAAACAAAGATTTATTTTGAAGGTACTAGGTTGATCGGCAGCCTAATCACTAGATTTTGCCAAAATTGCCAGGTTAGTTTAAAATGCTTAGAAGCAAGGAAACTAGAGATTCACAACCAGCTCTGCTTACAGTGGGGAAAATATTTATTTGATCCCCTGCTGATTTTGTAAGTTTGTCCACTTACAAACAAATGAAGAGTCTGTAATTTTTATCAAGGCCGATTGATGGTTATTTTGTATTTCTTCCTGTTCTGAATAATCGCACCAACAGTTGTCTCCTTCTCACCAAGCTTCTTGCTGATGGTCTTGT